AAGTGGTTACAAGATTACCCAACACCCAGAAATAAAGCCTAAACAACCATCCCTTGATAAACACATCCAGGGCCTGAAAAGTTCAAGCTCCGTGTTGGGTCTTGACCTCTGAAATATTTATACACAGTGATGCACCTTCCAGATAACATCCCCTGGAATCTGCTTAGCAGCCAGGCTGCAACAGCGAGTGAGTGAATAAATGCTTTTGTTGTCTATAATTCAGCAAGAAAGCTTTCGCTAACCCCCAGACACAGCTAAGAATAGCCAGGTTCCTTCTCATCTTTGAGAGCTCCAAGATCAAAAATAAGTTTCCCGCTCCTCTCCTGCCTCCCCTCTAGACTATGCTGTAGAAGCTCTCGGAGTTGGTGCTACCCTGGCCCTGGCCCAAGAAATACCCTTGTTTGTTGGAAAGAATTCAGCACTTGGCTGATTTCTTCCTTGTACCACTCCTTGCCAGACTAGTTCAATCTTGGGTCATCTCTGTTTGGGTTTCTTGATTAACTCCAAGTCTCCCAGGGAAAGAAAGAGCAAAAATGCTTTGTTAGAGCAACAAGGCCCATGAGTCATGCCAGCCTAGGCTTGTCTTCCCTCTCCAAGCAGAACTTCCAGAAGAACTATCTTCATTCCTCTGCTTTGAGAGTCCTGCTCTTCTCCCCGAATTCTAGAACTGGGTTTTCCCTCCTGTCCCTTGACTAAGGTATAGTCTTAAGAGCAGGGTCTTTAGAATGTAACATGACAAAAATCAAATCCCTGCTCAGGCTCTAACCGACTGTGAGACTAGGAGTAAGTGACTTGACCTTCTCAAGCTTCAGTGTCCATCGTGATAATGATGTCTACTCATGGCTCATGCTAGAATTGTGTGCATATCCACTAGAATGTGTGCCCTGAGAGGGTGAGGTTTCTCCCTGAGTTGCCTACTGTTGTATCTCTGGTGTGTCTATCCGTGCCTGACCCATCGACGTTACTCAATGAATATATTTTTTAGGGGTGGGGATAACCGATTCTTAGGACAATCCTGTAAGGTGGATGCTATAACTCTTCCCATTTTTCAGATGTTGAAACCAAGGTTCAGAATGGTGAAGTCAGTTGTTCAAGATCACACAGCCTATGTGTGACAGAGGGAAGATTAGGACACAAACCTGCCTGCCTTCAAAGCCTATTCCAGCCATCCTAAGGAGCTGTAGACATTAGATATTGAAGTCAATATGCATAACACACTTCACACACAGTGGGTGGTCAGTAAATACTGTCTCCCTCTTCCTCTTGACTTATACCATCTTCTCTCGCCAATCCTCTTTTCTATTTCCCCATCTTTCCCCAAACTCAACTTCAAGTTGGAAAACATTCCTACAAATTTGAAAAGAAACAAACAAACAAACAAACTTCCTTGGCTTGGCCTCCCCAGGTCCCATCAATGGAGAGAAAGCAGATATTCAAACCCAAGGGAAGGGGAAAGAGAGTGTATTCATCCCCAGTGACAATTCCAATGACAAGGACATTTCTGCTTGAGACCTCAGCTTCCTGTTGTTCTAACCTCTACCTTTCTATCACAGCCAAGATGTGTCATGCCAGCATATTATGATAATTCTTTCAGTGAGGTGTGTACATTAGCTGCTTGTGAAAATTCAGGTTCCATGGCCCTGCTCCCCAACCTACTTAATTCAAACGTCGTGGGGCAGGGCCCCAGAGTGTGCATTTTTAATAATCTCCTTGAGTGGTTCCTAGGCACACTAAAGTCTGAAAACCCCTGACACAGAACCTTGGCAAGTGGGAGAGGAAAATCAACCTCTTCCTCAACCTGAGCACATAAAACTCTGCACTCCAAGCTGTGCTCCGGAAGAAGCTGAGTTCCCTGGGAGGATGGTTTCTCATGCCACTCATCCACCACGCAGCCTTGGGATCTCCCCTTCATTTGCCACTGGAGACAGACATCGCAGCTCTGCTTGGCTTCTGCACCCCTGAATTTACGGTGTTCTGCATCATGTTACACTCTGTTCCAATCGTCCCTGGGTGTAGCTTTGCCTTAGAGCAAGTGGTCCCCAGCGTTTTCAGCACCAGGGATTGGTTTCATGGAAGACAATAATTCCGTGGATTGGGGATCAGGGTGGGAGTGGTTTTGGGATAAACTGTTCCATCTCCTATCATCAGACATTAGTTAGGTTCTCAAAAGGAGCACGTCACCTAGATCCCTCGCATGAACAGTTCACAATAGGGTTCACCGTCCTATGAGAATCTAATGACGCTGCTGATCAAAAAGGAGGCGGAGCTCAGGTGGCCATGCTCACTCATCTGCTTGTTGTTGTGTGTCCCAATTCTTAAGAGGCCACAGACCAGTACGCGTCCATGGCCTGAGGGCTGGGGACCCTTGCCCTAGAGCATACAATGCTGCCTCTAGCTTTCAATGAAGAAATACAATTTCCACTGAGCAGGAGAATTTAATGTATTAGTTAAAGGAAGAAGTTAACATATTAGTCACTGAGATAAATAAATAATACAAAAAAAAAGAGAGGAATAAAGAAAGGCAGGGAAGGAGGAAGGGAGGGGAAGAAAAGTGGTCATTCACAGCCATGAACATGCTGTGAGGTTCCTAGGGAGTGAAACACACACACACACACACACTCACACACACATGCACACATGTTTGTGTTGCTATTTCACTCTCTTTCATTCATTTTTCCAAGTCCCTTCAACATCAACCTTATCACAGTTTTCTTTGTATGGACCTGGGCATGTCCCTGAGCCTCTCTGTGTTTCTGGATCTGTAAAATTGGGATGATAACCCTACTTTTTCTGTCCTCAAAATGTTGTAAAATAATTTAGGGGTGGCTGCTTTCTTTGAAAAGACTAGAGAGTTATAGAAATATCACGGGTTATTATGATCATTACCAGTTTCCTGGGCCCCTGAGATGCTCATGCCAAAGTACCCCAAGGCTCTCTAATGAACGTGCCCGAACCCATTCTACAGCTGGACAAGCTGACTCAGTCTGAGCTTTGACAACATGATCCAGTGAACAGTAGAACCAGTTGAAGACATCCAACAAGGCTCCTGACCCCTGCTTGTCCGCTGTTGAGTTTTGCATGTAAGTCAACATACTTTTGTGAAGGGAACAAAGGGAAGTGGGTCATAAAAGTTCAGGACCTTTGCTCCCGGAAGCTGTGAGCATTACTTCTTCCAAAAAGGTCCTTTGTTGCTTGTAGGCACTAATAGGATCAAGTCACCTCATGTTAGTCTAGGATTTGGGGTGGTAAGCTCCCCTTGATCTGATAAAATATTGAGTCAAGGTCCTCTGTTTCCATCAGGTCACAGACAATGTCTGTTGCTTTAAATGCCATATCCCTAGAGTTCTGCCCAGGGACCTAACACATAGTAGATGCTCAATAAATGTTTGCTGAATAAATAAGTGATTAAATAAACGAATGAACAAAAGAATAAATAAAGGTCCCCATGGGATGCTAAACAGGATTTGTTCTTTTTGTCTCCTCTCCACACCCACAGCCAATGTTGGCAGATTCCCACCCTCTTTTCCTGTGAGTCCAGAGGCAGTCTCAATTCTTGTGGCAGCCACTTCCAATTTTTTATTCATCAACTATCAATCCAGGGGCTCAATGGTGACAGGCATGGTTCTAGATACTATGGAACATGGCATTGGATAAAAGGCCAACCCTCTACCCTGTAGCTGTTTCTATTCTGCAGATTAGGCAGAAGAAATGAAACTGATTTACTGCTCATGGTTGTCAGGTAGAAGTCTTTCCAGAAAGTCCTCCTCCCAGGGGTCAAGTATTGTTTTTCTTATATAACGGGAGCATCATTCTCTGCTCACATCCCGTGCTTGATCAGTTGCTAGGTCCTATGCACACAGGTCCTAAAATCTCCCTAATATGCTTTGAATCTGGTCACCTCCCCTAATCACCACTCCCTAGTCGGTAATAACATTGATGCTCCCTGGGCAACTGCAGCGGCTGAACCTCCTCCATCCTCCAACTCATTATTCATGCAATGGCCTTAGCTCAGCGCCTGACACACAGGGCTTTCGATAAACGCTACTTAGTGTTTTTGTTTTTACAGCAGAGGATCAATACATGGGAGCCCAATCCTAGAGTTTCTGCAGTTATCACTGAGACAAAGTCCACGGAGAGGCTGAGCACACAGACTCTGGAGTCAGACTTCCAGCACCTAGATACGTTTTTGCCATTTACTTATGGTGCATTTTTAACCTTAACCTCTCCACGTCTCAGTTTCTTCATCTACAAAATAGAGAAATAATGAGCCAGCTGCAAAGTGTATGGACATTCATACATGCAAAGGGTTTAGAGCAGTTTGAGGCACATAGTAAACACTGTATAAGGGTTATCCATTCTTGATTTTTTTTAACATGGCAAAATGTAGAACAGCGATTATGTAGAATACTTGGCACTCCTGTTTCTGAAGAAATATATTTGTGGTTTCCTCTGGTTGGGCCATTTCACATGTTTTAATGAATCACACACAGAAAATGTTGGGTACTCCTAGGTATAATGTGCAAATTCTATGAGGGCATGGCTCCCAAATGCATTTCTTCCCATCTGTGTACACAAGCCAACACGTAATCCCAAAGCACTCTCCCTTTTTGTCACAGGAAAGACAAAATGGTAACATTGCTTCACACTTACCCCATACACACAAGCCTGCCAAATATTTAAGCTACCCCCTCCATTCACAAGCACCCATGCCTCTTGACAATTCTCTGCCTGCTGATGATCTTCACCTGCACCCACTGGCCAATACATCCTGGTTGAACTCCCCAAAACCCCACCTCCCCAGCCCCTCTTTTCTTCCCTTTCACTATTTCCAAATTCTCTGTCAGTCTCTGTTAGATTTTCATTGAAGAAAAAAAAGTTACTTCCTAAAATGTTCAAAAGTCTTTCCTCAGTTTGTTATTAAAGCAATTATCTAGCATAACAAACTGGAATCGCAAAAGGTATTCTAATGGGAAACAAATGCTCCTGACAGGCGACCGACGGGACTCAGAATCTTTATTGAAAAATGAGGGGAAGGTGATTAGTGGGGAAAGGCAGGGGAGGAAAGATTTTCCACCTGGCCTTGGACAGTACATCAAAAGGCCGTCAGAAGGATGCTATTTATAATCATTATTGCTATGTCTTAAAGGGCTGTTGGTCTGCCCTCCCTACTGACTCCCCCCACAGTCCCATTTCTGCCTGTAGCCTAGTTCACACAGCAGCCTCCTTGTAGAGCTGGGCTACATGGGGCCATGTCCTGAAGAAAACTTGTGGCCGAGCGTGGTGGCTCACGCCTGTAATCCTAGCACTTTGGGAGGCTGAGGTGGGCAGATCACCTGAGGTCAGGAGTTTGAGATGAGCCTGGCTGACATGGTGAAACCCCATCTCTGCTAAAAATACAAAAATTGGCTGGGTGTGGTTGCACGTGTCTGTAATCCCAGCTACTTAGGAGGCTGAGGCAGGAGAATCACTTGAACCTGGGAGGTGGAGGTTGCAGTGAGCCAAAATCAAGCCACTGCACTCCAGCCTGGGAGACAAAGTGACACTCCAACTCCAAAAAAAAAGAAAAGAAAAGAAAACTCTCATGGTTTGAGGTCCATGCGCCACAGCCAGATGGGTTCCCAGGTGTCTTCATGCAATCCCTGACATCTTTCCAACCTCACCTCAGCCTTCCAATAGGTCATGGCCAACAGCAAAACCCAACACCCAGAACAGCTGCTGAACTTCGCAGAATGCCTAATGAAATTCTGATTTTCTGTGAGTATGGACTGGAATAGAGTGAATACCACAGGAAACCAGGCTAGGGGAAAACGCATTCATTCCACAAACATTCATCAGGCATATAAGATGTGTAGATGAGTGGAAATAAAGGAGCCACAGAGCTTTCTTCAAGTATTGACACCAGTGTGGAAGAGAGGTTTAGTTTGGAGCCAGTTCCCATTGATCCGTTACTGCTACCCGAAACCATGACTTGAGAGGATTCTGATTTCAGAAGGAAGTGATTCTGTGGTTGATTATGGATGCCTGTCACAGGCACAACATAGAGAAATGACAGCACACTGCATATTTGACAAAGCTCGTCTAGTGCCGCTCTTCTCAAACTTGAACATGCATGCTAATTAACTGGGATCTTGTTACATTACAGATTCTGAAATAGCAGGTCTGGGGTGGGGCCTGAGATTCAGCATTTCTAGCAAGATCCCAGGAAGTGCCGATGCTGCTGGACCAGGGACTGCATTTTGAGTAGCTTGAGTAGCAAGTGTACAGTAGGACCTAGCAATAAAATCATCGCATTCCCAGATCTGTCATTCACATGATCAAATAACTTTATCTAAATCATTGCACTGGAGAACAAGGAATTCTAGAGTACCTTCTGAAAGGACGATTGAAGATCTGCTCTCTGAGTTTTTCAGAATCAAAGGTGGTGGTCCAGGCAGCTCAGACCTTGAACAGGTGTTTCCATGGATTGTGTGGGAGCAAATGAAGGCGCCCAGAGGATTCCAGACTTGGCTCAGAGCCCCATCCAGAAGTTCAGATGTTTCTCCAAATCAACTCCAAGCCATATGTGTGTCTCTCGGGGCCTCCTAGGAAGTCTGTCTAAAGCTTGAGAAGACCGCATTCCTGGTGAGCCTTTGAGCAGCATCACCTCCTCCTTGCCTGAACAGATGATCACTTCAAAGTCCTCCTTTCTTGTGGTATTTTAGTACCTCTGGCCTTGGCCAGGAACCATCAACCCAGAGGCGTATAAAAGTGAAAAAGAAGAAGAAGAGAAAACATCATTTATCAACTCCCCAACTCCCACCTAAGTATTGTCAAAGTGTTTTGTTTGGACCAAGTTTGAGTTTGGGTGAAGATCCAATGAGACCTTACAGAGTTTTTTAACTCTTGTTCTATTTCCCCACTTACATCCTCTTATTCAGGAGGAGCAAAAATCACCCACCAGATAGATGGTATTGTATTTAAAATCTTCCAGCTGCTCCAAGAGCATCTTCTCACCATGCAGTGAGAGAGGTGAGACAGTGCACAGGAGATCTATGCTTGGTGGATAGACGTATTTCTCCTGAGCAAGATTGTATAGAAAAGAGTTAAAGAGTGGATGGCTTGGTAATCCAATTTTGGTTTCGAGATCCCAGCTCCACCACTGATGTGCTACATCTCATACTCTCTCCTGCTCATGGACTGCAGTCAAGCTGAACTGTTCATGTTTCTGTTCCTGTAAGCTTGCTCCCACCTCACTGTCTTTGCACATGCTATTCCTTCCACTTAGAAGAATCTTCCACAAATCTTTAAATGGGTGCCTCCCATTCATTGAGTAGCACCTCATATACCATCTCTACAGAGGCCTTAACTGATCAGACTGGCTAAAAGAGCCCACACCACCTCTGGCCATTTTCAAGCACATTGCCCTAATTAATTGATTACATAGCTGTATTCTCTGTCTGAATTTGAATGACAGTTTTTACATTTTTTTTTATATGTTAATTGTATGCATTTTTCTTTAGAATATAAGCTCTATGAGAGTAGGAATTTGTCTTCTGTTTTCTGGTGTATTTTTATACATCTTAAAGAATTCCTGACACATAGAATGTACTCAATATGTATTTATTATTGCTATTGAATAAATGATCTCCCTGGCCAGAGTGATTGGTTTAGGGCTGATCGTGTGATTTCAGCAAGGTGATATGATCTTGGCAGGGCTAAAACTTTTTGGGCTTTTTCTCTTGAGTTAATGGAAAGAGAAATCACTTTGCCCTGGACACACTAGAGGAATGTGGGTGTTGAGCTATCAGAAGACATTTCATCTATTGGGTGAAGAAAGCCTGCCCAAGTGATGGCTTGATCCCTGACCACAAAATGTGGATGATATCTGTAACTAGGAATACCTACCTTTGGTGTCTTTAACTACAGTGACAATTCCTCCTTCCCCTATCCAACAGCCATTCAGAAAGCTTAAATCGAGCTAGGTGCCTATCATTCACAATGGATGCAGTCTGAGCAATCCATGTGACATTGTTTCTAGGTCTAATTAGGTCCTGTTTCTACCACTTTCTAGCTAGAGGACCCTGTAGCAGGTTGACTGATAGTCCCCCTAAAATATGTTCACCACGCAACATTTGGAAAAAGGCCCTTTGCAGATATAATTACAGATCTCGACGGGAGATCATTCCAAATTATCCAGGTAGGCCCTACATCCAATAATAGTGTCTTTATAGGAGAAATGCAAAGGGAAATTGGAGAGATACAGAAGAGAAGGTTGCATGAAGACAGTGGCAGAGACTGGCGTGATGCAGCCACAAGCCAAAGCATGTCAGAAGCTGGAAGAGGCAAGGAATGGATTCTCTCCTGGAGTTTTTGGGGGACGTGCAGTTTTTCTGGCACCTTGATTTTGCTCCAGTGATATCTATTCCAGACTTCTTGCCTCTAGAACATCAGTTTTGTTGTTCAAAGCCACCAAGTTTGTAATAAATTGGTAGTGCAGTCACAGAAAACTAATACAGATCACCAAACTCTCCCCTATTTCAATTTTCCTTTCAGGAAAATTAAAGCATGAATTTCTGCCCAGTTTTCATTGAAGTGGGTAACAATGGAAATAAAATTAACCTGGGCCCAAATCACAGCTCTGTCACTCACTAGCTGTATGACCTCCAGCAACTCTTGTTTTCTGAGTCATGGTTTTATAATTTGTGAAATGGGTGCATTCATAACCCTCTCCCCATAAAATGTTCAGAGAGGATTAAAGGCAGTAATGCTTGTACAGTGTTCTGTGCAGTGCCTGGCACGTTGTAGATGCTCACTGAATACCAGACTATTCTGGTCATTACGTACTTTCATATACTTGCGTATGCTTCTCCTGTATGGGAGTCACTGTCAGAGGAATCCTTGAACCATTGTATCAGGAAACTTTTTTAAAAGAGTGAACCGGACATCGACATGTTTAGATCGGTGGTTTTCAGATGTCATAGTTAGTTGCTGATTAATTATTCTGAAAGATAGTTAAATGCAGAGATCACTGGATTCCTTCAGACAGTTCTTAATTGGGAATTCAAGAAGTAGGGCTATGGACCCAGATTTTAAACAAGCAGAGAGACATGTGGGAGCCATTCTTTTTAGATTATAATTCCTATGATTATTCCTTCGAAAACAGTTGCTGAAAATGTGCAGACACGACCTACCCCAGTGGGTGCTCTCTGAGAAGCAGGGCCCTGGTAACCTCGCTCACCCCAAGCCTCTGCAGCCAAGCATACTATACATGGGAGGGTTCAGCTGGAGAGAGCCTCTCCCAAGGTGGATCCCACTGGGACTATATTCAGGGAGTCAGTGAGAGTTTTCTCCGACTCCCACAGACCTTGTGATGTGGTGTTCCTTGTCGGGCGAGGCAGAGGGAGCATATGTGAGGAACGCACATCATAAAGAGTGATGGAACCCATAAATCTTGGACCTGTCGTCTGGTCCCTTAATTCCAGTTACAGAACAACAGCCAGGACCAGGAATTGCAGGCAGAGCTGCAGGCTGCCCCAGTCTGCCTTCTGAAGGCCGGTTGCTGCAGAGAGAAGACTAGGTTTGCAAAAGCTTTTTATCTGTCTGTGATTTATCACCTGAACTTTTTTTTTTTTAATAAAAGATGCAGAAACTAGAGAACTTAAAAGAGAATCTCCAGCATTCTTGCCTGTGGCCTTAGGAAGCACAGGTCTTGGGAAATGTTCAGTAAGTTTGTAAAAACCTCAAGTGTTTTCCAAGGCAAACTTCTTTTTTTTTTTTGGTGATGAGACATCCGCTTTATGTTTTTTTTTTAATGTCAGTAGTTTCGGGGGTACAGGTGACTTTGGGTTGCATGGAGAAGTTCTTTAGTGGTGATTTCTGAGACTGTGGAGCACCTGTCACTGAAGCATGTACACTGTCACCAGTATGTAGTCTTTTCTCCTTCACCCCCTCCCAAACTTCCCCGAGTCCTCATAGTTTATTATATTACTCTTATGCCTTTGTGTCCCGCTTATAAGAAGGAATATATCGTATTTGCTTTTTCATTTCTGAGTTACTTCACTTAGAATAATGGCCTCCAGCTGCATCCAAGTTGCTATAAAAGACATTATTTCATTCCTTTTTATGGCTGAGTAGTATTCCATGGTGTATATATACACCCAACAATAGACGGGATAAAGAAAATATGGTACACATACACCATGGAATACTATGCAGCCATAAAAAGGATGAGCTCATATGTTTTGCAGGGACTTGGATGAAGCTGGAAACCATCATTCTCAGCAAACAAAAACAAAAACAGAAAACCAAACACCACGTGTTCTCAATCATTGGTGGGAGTTGAACAATGAGAACACATGGACACAGGGAGGGGAATATCACACACTGTGTCCTGTCAGATGATGGGGTGCAGGGGGAGGGATAGCGTTAGGAGGAATACCTAACATAGATGGGTACAGCAAACCACCATGGCACATGTATACCCGTGTAACAAACCCACACACTCTGCACATGTACCCCAGAACTTAAAGTATAATAATAATAATAAAGACTAATGGCCTCCAGCTCCATCCAAGTTACTGTAAAATACATTATTCATTCCTTTTAATGCTGAGTAGTATTCCATGGTGTATATATACCACCTTTTCCTTATCTACTCATTGATTGATGGGCACTTAGCGTGGTTCCATATCTGTGCAATTGTGAATGGTGCTGCTATAAACATGTGTGTGCATTTGTCCCCTTTATATAATAACTTCTTTTCCTTTGGATAGATACCCAGTAGTGGGCTTGATGGATCAAATGGTAGTTCTACTTTTATTTCTTTAAGAGTCTCCACACCGTTTTCCACAGTGGTTGTACTAATTTACGTTCCCACCAGCAATGTAAAGTGTTCCGTTTCACCGCATGCATGCAAGGCAAACTGTTTGGAAGGAGAGTCGTTCCCTGAGTTCAGATTCTGCCTCTGTGTTGTCAGCATGTACTCGTTTCCCAGCATACACAGAGCTGAGCAAAGAATACAGTCACAGATTTCCAGTCCCTACATCTCTACCTACTAAACAAAAGCTAAAGAAACACTGAGACAATGCTACATTTCAGGAACAACAGGAAGTTTACATACTCTTAGCCTGCATCATTCATTTGTAATGTCAGATCTCTGAAAGGAGTTTGTAAACCCTGTTGGAGTTCCTGGTACTGGGGCCTGCATACGGGCAGAAAGGGCTGGATTCCAACCCCAATGTCAGGACTGGATTCAGTGTGTGGGCCCCGGTGCTGACTGGCTGACTTGAATCTGGTTTCCTCACTTCCTGGGTAACTGAGCCTCAGTTACATAATCTGTAAAACGGGCACAGCTACCCTTAATCTCTCACTTCGGATGACTGTGGGAGTTGAAAGGGCTAGCTGAGCATGCAGTAAGTTCTACAGATATCAGCTAGTAGCACTATCCTGGGAAGTTTCCCTAATTTCTCCAGGAAGGCTAGACTTGGGGCTAATTCTTCCTGACTCACAGGAGTGCGGCATGGTGCTGATGAGACGGCACCTGTTCCATGCATAGCATAGATCCCAGAACACTTAGCAGATACTGAACCAAAGTCGGATGTGTGTTTTCCCACGAATGGGCAGAAGTGGAGCTTGGAAATGTTTTTTTCAAAAAGTAGCAGTTATCGCTGAGTTGCTAACAAGTTGAAGAGAAAAGAATCCCCATTGCTGAATAGAGAGACATTACACCCAATAACCAATGAGTCATGGTACTGCATGGGTGTGATGATTGCGGGACTACATGAGAGAATAAATTCTACAGCAACCCAGAGCCTCGGGCCACGCTTTTCCATGCCAGGTGCTGTCCTCTCAGGCTGCAGGGACACAATAAGATGCTGTTCTCACAGTGCCAGATCGCAATCCATGCTGGGAGGATCCATTAGCACCATAAACTTGTTCTGTTCTAACAGCCCGTGCTTATCCTTCTTTAGTGATGATTTAATGCTTCAGGCCTCTGAGAGCAGGGCCAAAAATAAAATGGTGGGGAAATCAGACACAGCGTTAGACACCAGCAATATATTTAGAAAACAGGAGCATTTGTTCCCCCCATTTTCAAGAGTTTCCTTGTTTATTTTTTCTTTATGACCTCATGGCAAGTGGTCGAGAAATGGAAGCTTCCAGGGTGGAATAAAGGTGTTTCTATAAGTAGCACTGCAAGTGTAATTCATTGTACCATTGATCCCTGGGAATATGGCAGGGAACAGAAAAGGCAAAACAGCCCTGCCCTCTTGGAGCTGTCATTCCGGGGGGGTGGAGGGTTTGGGCCAAAGAATGACGAAAGATAAAATGGCATTTGTCCCCTCCAAGAGAGGCACCAGGCGAAGTTCTGCTGATGATTGTGTAAACCGAGCATTGCACAATCCCAGTGCAAATCACACTGTGGACAGTATCAGTGGCCCTCCCTAGAGTCATCCATCACCTAACCTGTTTGACTGTAAGCTGCAGCCCTGAAGATACAGGGCAGGAGCTAGTGTTGGGTTTTACTTAGATGAATAGCCAATGCCTCAAATGAGAAACGAAAACATACATAGAACAAAAGATGCTACCTGTGGGCCCTGCTCTTCTACTTGGATTGGTCAGAATATCCAACAGCAACTGCAGCATTCCTCATCTGCCAGGAAGTGACAGTGTGCTGGAGCCTGAGTTAGGGCACACAGAGAACAGGAACTGGGAATCACATCATCATGATTAAACAATTAAAGAGACTCTTATTAAACAAAGATCATGGCTGAAATATTGAAATCAGGAAAAGGACTTTTGCTTTCATATCCTTTGGTTCTTCTATATATATAGTTTAAGAGATGTGGTCTCATTATATTGCCCAGGCTGGACTGGTCTCAAGCCCTCCTCCTGGCTGAGCCTCCGGAGTAGCTGGGACCAGAAGTGTGTGCCATCACTCCTGTCTTAGTCCTACTATTTATCCTACCTCCTCTCCGTCTCTCCTTCCCTCCTCTCTCTCTCTCTCCTCTCAAATTCTCCCCATACTCAGATCTACCTCATATGCTGTTTCCAGCATGAAGCAAAAGCCCTAATATGCATAAAACAATCCCTTGTGCATGTCGCCCATCCTTGGATTTTTGTAACATTCTCCACTGGTACCTGACACCCAGTGGAGGCTCAAACACCCTTTTGAGTTTGAGTTAATAACAAGCAGAGAACTTTTTTTGGAACATATCTCAATGATATTTATTTCTTTTAAGCCCCAAGTTTTTCTATCATTTAGAATTAAGTTTAGTTGTGAGAACAGAGTCTCAAACTAGCAGCAGCTTACATACAGTAGCAGTGTCCTGCTCTCTCATATATAGATCTGAAGGGAAGAAGTCCGAAGCTAATGGGAGGCTTCTGCAGGCCAAGTCCCCAGGGGCCAAGGCTCCTTCCAGATTTTGGCTCTGCCTTCCTTAGGATGTGGCCCAAGTTCATGTAATCCAAGGTGACTGCCAGGACTGTCACCATGCTATTCACCTTACAACCAGAAGGAACGAGAAAGGAACAAGAAATGAAAATACACACAAAGAAATAAACAAGGGTGTGAGCTAGCTGTCTCTTTAGGAAAGATCTTACAACGTGCTGGCCAAAGCTTAGACATAGGGCCAAATCTAGTAAGAAGGGAAGCTGTAGTCTTTATTCTAAGGGATTGTATGTCCAATTCAAATGGTGTGTATGTGCTTTTTTTGTTTTCTGTTCTGATTCATCCTTCTCCGAAATGAGGAAGTTAGTCTGGCTAGGAACTTGCCATGATGGTATAGCAGCAGAAAGCCTCATTTATTTCCCAAACCTAGCACTGCTAAAAAGCTCAGTCGGAGCTGGGTACCATTGAATGATGGCTAGGTTATTCATTTGTATCAGTTACTGATGAAGCATTGTCCTGCTTCCTGCTTGGCTGGTATTCCTTATGTGACGAGCTCCCTCTGTTAGGACCCTTTTAGGGAGAAGAGCTGAGGACATTGTGATCTCATTCTTTGTACCATTAGCCCATCATTGAAACCTTGTCCCCACCTCTAATAGTCCCTACAATGGGTAAGGTGCTATGTAGAGCTGCTGTCATTAATTCCTCACAAAATCCACACACGATTTTTGCCATCCCCATGTTACAGAAGAGGAAGCAGAGATGCTGAAAGTAGACTATCTTTCTCAAGCTCCCAGTGCTCTCTCAGAAGAGGCAGACCTCAGGCTCCAAAGCCAGGCTCTTGACTTCAGCCACTTATTCAACTCGGGCTACATCTTATCCCCTCTTCTCTCGTTTCCCCCTTGTTTTAACTTCTGCATGAATTTACAAAGTTTATGTTTGAATTTCATTTAATCTCACTTTATTGTTTTTATTGTTTTTTTTTAATAATCTCACTACATTCTTACCAGAAAAATGAAAATCATTAATTGTCCCATGTAATTGTGGACGCCTATGTCTTCCCCCACTGAACACCAAGTTCTCTGAATTCCGTGACTGGGTCTTTCTTCCTGCAACCTCAGTACCTCCTCCCAACCTTGGCACATGGTTGGCCCTCAGTCCATACTGGAAAAAAGGACACACAGTTCCACACCCTCCTCTTTCTCCAGACCTAGCAAGAAAGTTGGAATTCCAATCCCTGGTGGGACACTCATTGGCCTGTTGAGTAATCTCTGGATGGGTTTTCTTTGATCTGTCTGGGTGATCTTTGTGGACTAATGAAGCCAAGCTGGGCCAGCATATTTGGTCAGCATCTGGGTCCTTGGTTCCATGTGGTAATTGGGACATGATTCCAAAGGAACTGTGTCCATCATGCCTGGGCCTATCATGTCATTATGGCAACTGAACTTCCAGAATATCGCAACCCCTCACTTGTCACACCATCTCTCTGTGTGAGAGAGTCTTACATCACTGTTTCCCATGGTGTCCAGTCTGGGTATCTCAAAATAACTTGCCTTTACTGGCTGTTGTTCAATAAGTCCTTAAACTGTACTCATTCATATGATCTTGGCAATAACCCCTTGAGCTAGAAACTATTATTATCTGCCTGTTATGGAGGAGAAGACCTATACATGTAATGAGAGCAGTTAGCTTTCTCAAGGGCACAACGTGGCAGAGCTGGGGCTCAAATTTGGGTGTTCCGGTCCCAGAACCCAGACTCTTAACCACTCCACTATAGGGAGGCAACCAAAATATTGTAGCCACATGGTGTAGAGCATGCCCCTCATGCTCAGCATGCTTCCTCGCAATATAGAGTCGACCATATGGCAGGCACAGATGACCAACACGTGGGGCTTTCTTGACCAGTGTTGTGCTACTCTGAAATGATAGAAGATATGGAGTTGGTTATCAACTGTAGTGTTTTGAGTTAGACACACTTAGGTCTGGTTTTTAGCTCTGTAACTGGGTGAAGCAGCATCTTTCAAGCTACCTGTCTACCTTCTGATGCCACCTTAACTGAGTCCTTTACCCACAATGATCAATCCCCCAAGGCCATATTATATCATATGACCCCATCCCCCTGCAGCCTCTGTTATGACTGTGGTTAAACACCTGACATAAGCTAAGCCAATAGGAATTTTGTGCCTAGGATTCCTAGAGGGGGATTTGCTCTGTTTAGATGTCTTTTTTTTTTTTTTTTTTTTTGAGACAGGGTCTTGCTCTGTCACACAAGCTAGAGTACAGCTACATAATCATAGCTCACGGCAGCCTCAAACTTTGGGGCTCAATGGATTTTCCTGCCTCAGCCCCCAAATAGCTGGGACCATGGGTACGAACCATAAAGTCCGGCTAATCTTTTTATTATTTATAGTGACAGGATCTTGCTATGTTGTCCAGGCTGGTCCTAAACTCCTGGGCTCAAGCGATCCTCCTGCTTCACCCTCCTGAGGTGCTGGGATTACAGGCATGAGCCACCGTGTCTGGCCTGTTTTTGTGCTTTAATCTTTAATATGAGAATTTGGTGGTGGTCATCTTGGATCACTATACACATACGAAAAGGAAAGCCGTGAAGCTAAGGGGCAGACAGGAGAGGAAACATAAGCCACATTTTTCTGGCTGTTCATTCCGACCCCTTCCCAAACCCCACCTGCATCTCCACCTTTGGTAGACCATCTAGTGCTTTATTTTTCCCTTGAGGTAACCTCTGGATTTTATCACTTGTAAGCCAAAAGACACAACCTCTGTCCACTCCACCTGGAACATAAGTTTCTCAGCTTTTTGCAATGTTAGCTCCTTATTTAATTCAGCTTTTAAAGTTTTGCCTCGAATCCACCATTTACATGGAGTTCTTGAAATACGATAATAATTTAATAATATTTAATAGTGAATGGATAAATAAAAGCTTACTAATACCTAATGTTACTTCAAGAAAACTCATTCACATCTCTGAACCTCAGTTTCCCCAACTGTGAAAGGGAAGAATAGAGAGCCAACCTCACAAGGCAGTTATGGAGACTGAAAGTAAGGTGTACAAGGTGCCTGGCACAGAGGAAGCACTCAGGGAACAGCAGCCTGTCTGGACAATGGTACCGCAGGCATTCCCAGTGATAGGCATTTGTGTCCTGCCCCAGGTGATGTCCCCTTTCTATGACTTGGCTCAAACCTCCAGCAGGGTGAGACTGTGGAAAAAGGAATAATCTGAAATTAGATTTGCCCCTGTGATTCCCAAATCAGAATCCATTTTCATTTGATGTCTCTATGCCCTGAGCAGAGCAGCTGTGCCGGGGATTAAACGAGGAGGGCAGATCTGTCTTCTAAAGAAAGAAGAATTTTCCATACTGGTCTGTCAAGATATTTGCTTTCCCACTGTTTGTCTGGCTGGATCCCAGCTTCGCTCTCACACTGGTCTCCTCCCTTGCAATAACCAGAGATCATATTAAGCGTCCACTCATGGAATTGAGAAGAGAGATAGAAATGCATTAATGTCAAGATCTCCAGGGTGCATCTAAAATAAATATGATTCCTCTCTTCCCACTCCTCACACCATATGCGGGGGACATCCAGTGTTTGTTTTTCAGCTGCGCCAGCCAGTCTGGAAGAGGATACCATGGAAATGGGAGAAAAAGGATCAGCGTGGTGTAACATATCACTGGGGGGGAGTTTAGGGCCCATCACTCAACAAATAACAAGTCAACAACCCCTGTCGCTTGGATATCCCCTGTGAAAGCTGCATCACCCTATTTCACAATAACTTTAATCTGACTGTGTAAACTCAAGAAGTTCCCATGGCTTGTAAATGACTGGCACAAAGTGGCCTGTTAAAATAATTCAGGCTCTTTGCAAAGAAAAAAAAATGGGGGCAGCTTTAAAATAAACCACCTTGCATAAGTCACCAACATATTAAACGTTGGTAGTAATCAGTGAACTAAACTTAACTTATGTTGTGAGGCCATATACATTTTTTTTCTATAATCAGCCTACTTTCCTCTCATGGATGATTGGAGCCAAATTTTATAATGTAGAAAATACACATTGGAGTTAACTTAATGTTGAGTTAATTTGTAGTACATTATCCAGCTTTGGGCAAGTAACTTATTTGAAACTCAGGTTGCCCATCTAGAAAATGAGAAAATTGGAGAGTAGGTAGGAGAGAATATATTTGGCTCACAGGTCATAACTCTCTATTGTCCCACCCACAAGAGACATCACTTGATGTGGTCTCAGATCTATCTCAGCCGAAAGTTCAGGGAGCCACTAACCACTGATCAAAGACAGACTTTGAGAAAAAACTTCTCTGTCATTCCTACAGCAAAGGATTCTCAAATGTCCTTCACATGCACAAACCCTATGTCATGTGGGCAATTGGATATACCACTTCCATCCTACATAACTTTGTAGAGGTATATCTTACCTTTATATCTTCAACCAAACTCAGTAAGCTGCCCTTGAAATAAAGCCATTAAGGGGTAAGATTTCCAAATAATAATTTGCACTCAAGTCCCATTTTTTTTAATTCGTCAAATTGCGCATCCCATGAAAGCTTCAGGAGATGTAACTAATTGCATGGGAGAACTACATGAAGATGGCCTCAGAGCGATTCAAAGGACACTTCTGAGTTGTCAAGGTCTGCCTTGGATCCAGAAGACCAGGAAGCTTTACCAAACTTAAACATGAAATTTCTCCACAGACCCGCAGCTCGGCCTCACCAACTTGGTAGTGACTCATTTTTTTTTTCCAGATGACAAATAAAAGCATTGGTCTGCCTCTCCAAAGTCTTCAGAAAGAATATGAAAAATTGTGGCTAGGTCTGAGAAAGTTTTTGTACAATGTCATGGGATTGGTAAATCCATCGTAGTCCTGGCTCATCCATCAAGGCTGACATATGGCAGGGTAATGCTTCCCTAAGCATTTCACTTTGGTGAAAAGGAAACTCTAGTCCCTATTAGAAAACAACACGAGACTGACCTGGAGTTTCATTCAAGTTTGATGCTACCGGGCACAGCTGTTTCTGGCCTCAGGGCATCTATCACATCTATGACTTTTTCCTCCAGCAACCCAGTGATAAAGGTGATGAAACTAGAATCTCCATAGAAGAATGGTGGCTGGCACTATCCTTTGGGTACACAAGCTCTGAAACTCTCAGTGGCCTAGCATCTCTTTTTTTTTTTTGAGATGGATTCTTGCTCTGTCACCCAGACTGGAGTGCAGTGGTACGATCTCAGCTCAGTGCAACCTCCGCCTCCTGAGTTCAAGCAATTCTCCTGCCTCAGACTCCCAAGCAGCTGGTACTACAGGTGCATGCCACCATGCCCAGCTAATTTTTTGTATTTTTTTCTTTTTTAGTAGAGACAGGGTTTCACCATATTGACCAGGCTGGTCTTGAACTCCTGACTTTGTGATCCACCTGCCTCGGCCTCCCAAAGTGCTGGGATTACAGACGTGAGCCACAGCACACGGCCCATCTAAATTCCTATTGTGCAGAATTCTCTGATTTTAGAAAATGCCTTACAAAGTTGAAATGTTGGGACAAGGCTCATGGTGATGACACAGGCAGCTTTGTTCTTGGAGCAAGGACAAATATTTTAAAACCTACTTGCTTTTTATTTTGTCTAATGTACACGAAAGTCTCAGGGTGATGTTCCCTGAGATACTGCACGTCAAGCACTCAGTAATGGCGGCTAGTGAGTGGATATTTACGGAAGCATCTTAAGTAGGCTTCCTGCCTCTAACTTTAATCTTCTCTGTTCCTCCCTCTACAAGCAAGAGTGAAGATGAGGAGGAGAATGGTAGTAATGGTTTTCCCATTATCAAGCAGCCACGGCATGCCAGTAAGCGTTTGCCTGCATCACTCATTCAGTCCTTTCAGTGGTTATAAATATTATTATGCTAATGTGAATATTGCAGAAAACAAGGCACAGAGAGATTGTGTTCACTTGCTAAAGTCTCACAGCTTGTAACTGTAGGAGCCAGGATTTGGACCCCACCCTTCCTCTTAAGTGCTTTACTATGCTGTCTTTCATTCACCCATCCAGTTATTGTTTACTGAGGGTCTACTACACTCTTAGTATATGGTCTACCCTGTTCAAGCCTGGTACAGACTCGGTGTTAACTATATGGTAGAAATTATCGTTATTAATTATTATTTTCATTTAGATAATTTTGCCTTATAAGAGAGGCTGAAATAATTCTATTTGTCCTGGAAAGTGTAGTCAGAGAGCATGATATGAAAGAATTAACAACTCATTAGGACCTATGAGTCCTGGTTTCTAGTTCCAGCTCTGATCCCCACTCACTGTGTTATATCAGGCAGGGCCTTTGCTCGAGTTACCTCTCAACTGGTTTACCTCTCAACTCAGCTGTTACAGGTCCCCTTACATCTAGAAGATAGCACCAAAGCCAGGAAAAACCAAGCTTCCCTAAACCTGCAGTACGTTTCCCAGTGTAGCCAAAAATCCAAGTAGCAAACCTAACACCTTGATGCTGTGTAAATTGGCACAGACACACACAGCTTCCACGTGGTGATGACTATGTCAAACAAGGTTTTGTCTTCCCCACAGACAACTTCACTTCTGAAAATTGAGCAGTGGCTGAGTCCAGGTCCCAGTTCCAGTGGGAGTGAGAGCCCAGAGCAAAGCGTGTACTTACATTCCATGACGATGATGCTCAGTGATGAATGAACCAGTTACTTGGCAGGAAAGAAGTTCCTACGGGTTGAGGTGACCCTCTTAGCAATGTGTTTATTTGACAGCCTAAGGCAGCAAAAAATTCACAGGGAAGAAAAAAGAGAGCAGAAAAGGGCATAAAAGAAAGGTTATTTAAGAACAACAGCATCCTCTCTGGCCAAACACTCATGAAATTATAGCAGAAGATAATATAAACGGATTGTGAAAAAATAAGTTAATCAGAGATTAAAAATGTCCTGGAGAGGTATTAAGGCCAGGAAACGTGTACTTTTTCTATCTTAATACTTAGACTCACTAATTTTTATTGAATTTACTTGGTACCTGTAAAGACTCAATGAATATTGTATTTCACAAATATTTCAATATTTATTGAGTATTGTTGACTATGGCTGCCAGTGAAGGTGTCACAGGTTAAATGGGTTATGGGAGACGGGTACAATTTGGATTGCTAGAGAAAGAAAATAGTTCAAGAAGACCATCCATTTCAACAAAGGTCTTCATGAGAGAACAAACTTGGCTTGTTCTGCTGGGAGCTGGATCATTCAAATACGGCTAGACTATTTTGCGGACAATTTCCCTGGAATTTTAGTGATTCAGTATCACAAAGGTTGATTACTTACTCATGTGGTATGCCTAGCAGGTAATGTCAGGGGGCTCTGCTCCACACAGCCACTCAAGGATCCAGGCTGCTGGCAGGATCCATTGACTGTCTAGTCTTAGCTGCATCATCTGCAATATTACTCCCGCATGGTCACCACAGAAGGGGAAGAGCGCTCATGGAGGACCCACATCTGCTTTTGTGTGCTTTGGCATGGGAGTGACATGTACTCCCTCTTCTCACAGACCATTGGATGGAATTGGAGATACAGCTTCATCTGACTGTAGGAGGCAGGGATGTACAAAGAACCCATGGCTGTGGGTCAGGAGGAGACAAACCTACTGGAATGGTAAACACATTTTAGGTAAAGTAGACACATAATTAAGTATTTGTAGTTTTGCTATGAAAATGCATGACCCAGAAGCATTTTCAACAAAATAGAAAAACCCCTTCTATGGTGTGCTAATGTATCAATATATTAAGAAAAGAAATCTCCATTCTTTTCATCTTTATGATTTCAAAGTTGTTAGAAAAGGACTCCAGTATTTTGCATCCCTGGGCTCTTATGAATGAGATAGGAGTGAATTCAGGTACCTGCAAAAATTAATTCTTAGGAAGGGCAGAGATTCTAAACAATAGGCCTGGGTCCAAATTCCAGCTCCATCACCTTCCTCAGGGCCCTTAATCCTCATCTCTACATTCATTCATTCAGCTAATATTTACTATGCATGAGCCTATTAATCAAGAAAGACAAAAGGGGACTATCTTGATATAATTCTTATATCGGTAAGCTTTTGGACTATTGGATGACACCTGATACAAATGGACTGATACAAAATAATATTGATATTGTTAAAATGCCTATGCTACTCAAAGCCACCTATAATTCCAATACCATCCCATCAAAATCACAGTGGCATTTATACAGAAATAGAAAAAAAAATTCTAAAATTCTTGTGGAACCACAAGTTACCCAGAAACCAAAGCACTCTTTAAGAAGAAGAACAAAGCTGGAAGCTTCATGCTTTCCAGATTTGAAAATCTGTTTCAAAGATACGAGCATTAAAACAATATAGTTCTGGCCAAAGACAGACATGTAGACCAATGGAACAAATGGAGAGCCCAGAAATAAACTTATGAATATATAGTCAATTGATATTTGAGAAGGGTGCCAAGAACACATGTAGAGAAAAGATGCTCTGTCCAATAAATGATGTTGGTAAAACTGGATGTCCACGTGCAAAAGAACGACAGTGGCCCCTTATCTTACACCATACACAAAAACAAACTTGAAATTAATTAAATATTTAAATTAAGATCTGAGGCTATAAAGCTCCTAGAAAAAAATGAGAAAAAATATTCTTGTTACTGACATTGGCAATGATTCTTTGGATATGGCACCAAGAGCACAAGTAACAAAAGCAAAAATAGACAAATTGGATTGTAGCTAACTAAAAAGTGTCTTCACAGAAGAGAACACCATCAAAATGGAAACACAACCAAGAAATGCGAGAAAATGTTTGTAAACCATAACCATATATCAATTAAGGGTGGATATCCAAAATATATAAGACACTCCTACAATTTAACACGAGAGAGAGAGAAGGAAGGAAGGAAGAAGGAAGGGAGAGAGGGAGGAAAGAAAGGAAGAAACAGAGAGAGAAAGAAAAAAAGAAAAAGAGAAAGAAAGAAAAGAAAGAAAAAAGAGAGGCAGCAAAGAAAGAAAAAGGAAAGGATGAAAGGAGAAAGAAAAGAAAAAAGGAAAGGAGGAAGTACAAAAGAACCTGATTTTTAAAGGGGCAAAAGACTTGAATAGACATTTTCCCAAAGAAAACATACCAATGACCAACAGATGTGAAAGGTGCTCACCATCATCAGAGAAATGCACATCAAAACCATAATGAGATCTCCCCTCACACCTGCTAGGATGGCTATTATCTTAAAAATATAACAAGTTTTGGTGGGGCTTTGGAAGAAAGAGAACTCTTGCATAATTTTGGTCAGAAGGTAAACTGGTACAGCCACTATGTATAACACTATGGAGGCTCCTCAAAAAGTCAAAAATAGGTCATCACAACCGGGCATAGTGGCTCACACCTGTAATTCCAGCAGTGTGGGAGGCCAAGGCAGGTGGATCGCTTGAGGCCAGGAGTTTGTGTCCAGCCGCAGCAACACAGCAAGACTCCATCTCTACTAAAAATACAAAAATTAGCTGGGCATGGTGGCACAGACCTGTAATCCCAGCTATTTGGGAGGCTGATGCAGGAGAATCACTTGAATCCAGGAAGTGGAGGTTACAGTGAGCTGAGATCATGCCACTGCACTCCAGCCTGGGTGACAGAGCAAGACTCTGTCTCTAAATAAATAAATAAATAAAATAGGTCATTATATAATCCCACTTTTGGGTGTATATCCGAAGAATTGAAGTCAGAATTGCATTATTCACAATAGCCAAGACATGAGCGCACCCTAAATGTTCATTGACAGATAAATGGATAAAGAAAATGTGGTAAATACATAAAATGAAATGTTATTCAATATTATTCAGCCTTTTTTTTTTTTTGAGACAGTTTTGCTCTTGTTGCCCAGGCTGGAGTGCAATGGTGCGATCTCAGCTCACTGCAACCTCCACCTCCCAAGTTCAAGCGATTCTCCTTCCTCAGCCTCCCAAGTAGCCGGGCCTACAGCTGCCACCACACCTAGCTAATTTTTGTATTTCTAGTAGAGACAGGTTTTTGCTATGTTGGCCAGGCTGGTCTCGAACTTCTGACCTGATGATCTGCCCACCTCGGACTCCCAAAGTGCTGGGATTACAGGCGTGAGTCACTGTGCCAGGCCTTATTCAGCCTTAAAAAGCGAGAAAATTCTGCCATTTGAAACAATGTGGATGAACCTGGAGGATATTATGGTAAGCGAAATGAGCGAGGCACAGAAGGACAAGTACTACATGAACCCACTTCTATGAGGAATCTAAAATAGTCTAAATCTAAAAACTAAATCTAAATCTAAAATCTAAAATCTAAAAACTTCCAGGAGTTTTCCTGGAAGCAGAGAGCAGAGTGGTGGTTGCCAACCCTACAGAAAGGTTAAAATGGAGACAATCTAGTCAAGTGATACAAAGTTTTGGTTAAGCAAGATGAGGAAGTCCTAGATATCCAGTGTACAACGTAGTGGCTATGGTTAATATTCTATTGCATACTAAAAATTTGCTAGGAGGATAGATCTTACATTGTGTTCTTATCACAATAATAATAACCATATTATATAAAGAGGACAGAAACTTTTGTAGGTGATGCTGTTGATTGCGGTGAGAGCTTCACAGGTGTACACTTATCTACGGACTCATCAAGTTGTATGCATTAAACATGTGCTGCTTTTTAAATGTGAATCATATCTCAGTAATTTGGCTTAAAAAAATGGGTTGACAATAAAGTAAGAAAGACATACGTTAGATTTAAAGGGAAAATTCTGGTTCTTTGGAATTGCCAAGGTTCTTCAAACGGGAAAAGGCAATGAGTCTCCTCACTCCAAACAACATTAGAGATATTTCTAATGACAATATCTTTAATCTCAAAGGACATTAGAGATATTTCTGTGTCCCCAAATTTTGTCCAAAATATGTGGTGGAGGGGAGCGGTTGAGAATAGCTACCAGGAAACAGGATCCTACTCCCACCATTGGTCCACAGATCCCTGCTTCTAGAAAGAAGGCTATTAATTTGTGTGTGTGTGAAACGGAGTCTTGCTTTGTCACCCAGACTGGAGTGCAGTGGTGCTATTCTGGCTCACTGCAACCTCTGCCTCCTGGTTCAAGCGATTCTCCTAGCTCAGCCCCTGAGTAGCTGGGACTACAGGCACACCACCACACCCAGGTAACTTTGTATTTTCTGTAGAGACAAGTTTTACCATATTGGCCAGGCTGGTCTTGAACTCCTGACTTCAAATGATCCACCTACCTCAGCCTCCCGAAGTGCTGAAATTACAGGCATGAGACACCACGCCTGGCTGAAGGCTGTTAATGTTCCTTTTTTTTTTTTTACTTGTTTTATTTTGATTCAAGATCAACGTTTAAGCAAATAGAATAATGATAGCTTTTCTAGAAGAACATAAACATCATTCTTTGATAATGATAATCTCTTTACTGTTAAAGAAACACAGAACGGTTTTACACTGTTGGTAGGAGCGTAAAGTAGTTCAACCATTGTGGAAGACATTGTGGTGATTCCTCAAGGATCTAGAACTAGAAAACCATTTGACCTAATAATCTCATTACTGGGTATATACCCAAAGGATTATAAATTATTCTACTATAAAGACACATGCACACATATGTTTACTGCAGCACTACTACAATAGAAAAGACTTGGAACCAACCCAAATGCCCATCAACGACAGACTGGATAAAGAAAATGTGGCATATATACACCACGGAATACTATGCAGCCATAAAAAAGGATGAGTTCATGTTCTTTGCAGGGACATGGATAAAGCTGGAAACCATAATTCTCAGCAAACTAACACAGGAACAGAAAACGAAACATCGCATATCCTTACTCATAAGTAGCAGTTGAACAATGAGAACATATGGACACAGGAAGGAGAATATCATACACTAGGGCCAGTTGCGGGGTGGAGGACTAGGGGAGGGATAGCAATAAGAGAAATACCTAATGTAGATGATGAGTTGGTGGGTGCAGCAAACCACCATGGCGTGTGTATACCTATGCAACAAATCTGCATGTTCTGCACATGTATCCCAGAGCTTGAAGGCTGTTAATTCTTAATGCGCCTATCATCCAGTCCAAAGATCTCTGACAAAACCCAAGTTTCACACCATTAATCTCACGAATAAAATGGCTCTAAAATTGTTAGAAAGGCACTGGGCATGATAATCCTATTTAGGAACTAGGAATAAATAAATATAACTTACAAAGTAGGGCTGAATGTTAAAGATAATTATAGATCTTCCAGAGTTTCCAACATATAATAGCTTCTATGACAGATTGTATAGACAGAATGAGCTCTCCTAGTTAGGAAGCTGGAAAGCCTAGGCTGGAATTTACAACGCATCTTCCATATTTAAAGTTCTTGCTGACAACGGCTACAAGGCACTGCCTCCTATGCGCCTGGTACAACCCCTAGAGCATGGGAATTGTAAATACCGGCTGATTGAAATAATGACTGCTGCAATGAAGCCAGCCTAGGCACTCTGGAAGACCTGGAAGGCGCATGATCAAAGCGGTCCAGGCCAGTGGGTCTCAAACTGTGGTTCCTGGACCAGTCACCCCAGGGAAATTTTTAGAAATGCAAATTCTCAGGCCTTCCACTCAGATCTACTGAAGCAGAATCTCCAAGGATGGGGCCAGGAGTGTGTGTTTCAGCAAGGCTTTTGGGTGATTCTGATGCACAATAAGAATTGAGAACCATTGCTATAGAACCTTGCTTCTCCAAGTGTGGTCTGTGGTCCAGTGGTATCATTGTCACAAGAAATGCAGAAACTCAGATCCCACCTTGGTCACACTGAATCCGAATCTTTGTTTTAACAACGTCTTCACCCAGAGGGTTTATTTGCGGCTTAAAAGCTTAAGAATCACTGATCTTGGCCGTTGGTTTTCAAACTTAGCAGCTTGTTAGAATCCCATGGACAGAAACTAGTGTGGTTGGTCTGGGATGTGACCTGAACATCAGGATTTTTTTTTTTTGAAAGTTCCCCCAGGTGATTCTAACATGCAGCGAAGTTTGAGAATCACAAGTGTCCATGACTTTAAAAAGGCTTTCCAGAGAAGGCAGCACCTAAGCTCAGCCCTGACCCCCAAGGCTGGGTGTTCCCTGAGAGAGAGAGAAACAGCCAGATTGTTTTGGGTGCTGCTACTGCCACTGTCTCTACCTGTCTTCAGTCAAAGAGGGAGGCCTCCCAAATCAAGGGCTGTCAATCCACCCCCATCAACAGCCTCAAATTCACTAAAATGCTTGAGGCGTGGGTTCAGAGCGAGGGCAGAGTAAGGGAGAGGTTTTATTAGATAAAGCCTACATTCTCTGAGCTGCGCATTAATTAATTTCAAAGTAGGCTGAATGATGGAGGAGGGCTAGGGCAGCAACGTGGGTAATAAAAGCACTTTCAGAAAGTGCCCCCTTGCTTCTTGGAATGTCTTCCACCCCAACCTGCCCAATCACAGTCAGAGAGGAAGGCCAGCCTGGGAACATCTCACCTTTGCCGAGTCTGGCCAGGGATGCTGCTGAGAATAAAATAAACTCTTCTCTCTTTTGCTTGAAGAAAAGAAATCACTGGTAGCAAAAACTGACAACTCACATGGCGAAGTCGTCAGCAGGGCCAGAGATGAAGGCAGGGGAATTTCGAGGAGGTGGTGGGGAAGGCAAAGGTGGGAGGAAGGAAGAAGGAGTGGCAAAGGCAATGTCAGACAACGAAAGTCCAAATGTTTCAGAGCTGGCTTCCTGTGCTCCAACACTAGAAGTGTTTCTGTTGCACCACTCCCCCCACCTCCTCCTCCTTCTCTTCCTCGTATCATCTCCTATGACTAATTATTTTGACCTTTCCCAACCCGATCTGCAATATCTCAGGCTTCTGTCATAGTCGGCTTCCGGCCATCATCGGTCAGATTGCTCCAAGCACACAAGGCCAGCCTTGCCTTGCCAAATGGCAGCAGCACATGGCCAAAAGCACAGTCTCGAAATACCCCCGGGGCCCAATTTTTGTTCTCATTTCTTCCTTTCCCTTTCCCCTAAAATAATTTTTATCTTCATTGTGGACTATTCTCTCCTTCTTTTGGAGCTCTCTTTTCTAGGCACCAGTCAAGAGAGAAACAGGAGGCAATGATAAAGGGACAATGTAGGCTTTTAGGTTTTCAGTCGCCTTACCTGAGTGAGTTTGTCACTTGATGATTTTTCACGAATATTTCTTCAGAACAAATACAATGCCATTCCCCATCCACCCCCTCCAACCTCCGCTGCCAAATGTTCTTAAAATTCCTTTTCGAACTGGCCTTTGAAAATGTCTAAAGGGGCACTCATTTTGGCTTTTTCCTTTTTTTGTTTTTTTTTGGGGGGGTGGAGACAGAGTCTCGCTCTGTTGCCCAGGCTGGAGTGCAATGGCTTGACATCGGCTCACTGCAGCCTCCACCTCCCGGGTTCAAGCGATTCTCGTGCCTGAGCCACCTGAGTAGCTGGGACTATAGGTGTGTGCCACCACACATGGTTAATTTTCTTGTATTTTTAGTAGAGTTAGGGTTTCCCCATGTTGCCCAGGCTGGTTTTGAACTCCTGAGCTCAGGTGATCCAACGTGCTTGCCTCCCAACGTGCTAGGATTTCAGGCCTGAGCCACCATGCCCAGCCCATCTATCCTATTTTTTTAAAAAAAAAAAAAAAAAAAAAAAACAAGAAATCATGATTGCATCTTAGTTGTTGGTCTCTAGATTAGTATAACCAAATAAATCATGTATTTCTTTTTAATGATTATTCCTGAGTGATATTTTACTCTTTCCCCAAGTTAAATCTACCCTTGAAGTTTATAGATCTTGCCAGCAGTAAAAAAAATTGTTCCAAAAAATTAAGCAAGGTTCTTTATATTGCACTCCTCCTCCTCTTACCCACTCAGAAAGGAACTTCTACAAATACTCTGAATAATGATCAAATCTTCAGGAGAAGTATCAAAACCCAATGGGAACTATTTCAGGGCAGTCCTGATTGGCATGGGATGATCTCCAAAATCACAAACTGAAAGAAGCATTAAGGGTTTTCTTAGTCACTATTAATGAACTCAGTTCCACTTCCTCTTTTATCTTCATAATAGTATCTGGGACAATCCCCAGCTCTTAGCAACTCACATTTTCCAGGCATTTGTCCTCCTCAGGACAGGCAACAAAAGGAACAAGCACATACTTGACTCAACATTATATTATGTTTTAGTTTCATTCCTTGATTCATCTCCTCTCCTCTCCTTTTCCTTTATTTAACACCAACGAAAGGAAAACATTATTTAACACCAAGTTAAATTAATTCCATGAGTATTTTCTGCATGGAAGATGTTGTTTCGCATGCTGTGTGGGAATCCCTGGCCACCTAAGATGTGCTCTGTCGTCTGTTCTCCTCTAGCATGCCCACAGGAAGAAATAAGCTGGAGATGCCCCAGATACTGTGTTGAGAAGGATTCTGAGGCCCAGACTCAGTGGGAAAGTGCATTTACTGTTTCTTTCTCCTTGTCTTTAATAGACACCCAAATATTTGCTGCCTGGATAAATGGAAGAGGGAAAGATTTAAAAAAAAAAAAAAGGAGAAAGTAAGAGAGTAAGGAAAGAAAGAAAGAGAAAAGAAAGAAAGAGAAATAAAAAATGAAAGAAAGAGAAAGAAGAAAGATGGAAGGAAGAAAAGAAGAGAAAGAAAAAAGAAACAAAGGAAGGAAGGAAGGAAGGAAGGAAGGAAGGAAGGAAGGAAGGAAGGAAGGAAGGAAGGAAGGAGGGAAGGAAGGATTCAGAAGGAGGAAGGAAAGGGTAGAAAGGAAGGAAGTTGGTGAATGAGTTAATACCTGAGCAATGAGACCTACCCCTTAGACAAGAGGAAATGAGTCACATGACGACTATGGATTTCAAGTGAACTTTTAGAGAAATATCAATCCCAGATGGTTGCTGGAACATGCTCTCTTCCTATTTCCTTCCCATTGTGAAAATCACAGTGTAGGTGGATCCCCATTGATATTGTTCATTTTGAAGTATATTCTACCTCATTCTGCTGAAATACACTAGTCACCTGGGAAAGTCAAGTAAAGACTGAGAAATTGCTCCAGGCTGGAAGGAAGCTAAAAGAAACAAGAAAACTAAATGTAATGGGTGATTCTGAACTGGGTCCTTTGGCTACAAACACATCAGTTTTTTTCTTTCTGAGATGGGATCTCCTAGTGGTGTGATCACAGCTCACTTCTGCAGCCTCAACCTCCTGGACTCAAGCAATCCTCCTTCCTCAACCTCCCATGTAGCCAGGACTACAGGTGTGTACCACCACACCTGGATAATCTTTTTATTATGTGTAGAGATGGGTCTTGCTATGTTGCTGACACTGGTCTTGAACTCCTGGGCTCAAGCAACCCTCCCCACTCAGCCTTTCAAAGCCTTGGAATTATAGGCATGAGCCACCATGCCAGCCTACAAGCACATCATAGAGACAATAGGAAAAGCTGAATGACATTTGAGAACCATAGGGTAACAATTTGTCATTATTAGGGTTCTAAATTTAACATAGTTACATTTTTATTATAAAGGGAAATGCCCTTGGTTTTAGGAAATAAATATTAAATTGTTGAGGCTAAAAAATATCAACCTTGACCTCATATATAAGTACATCTTTTTTTATTGTTTCCAGTATAAAGCTAGAACTCACACCAGCAAATCTTAGAATTTCCTAATAAACACCTTTTCCTTTAAAAAAAATAGTAGACAAAAATATGCAGAAGAGCCAAATTTAAAATACTTATATCCAGCTTGATATACTAAGGGAAACTTTCTAACTCCCATGAAATACGCTCACAAAGGAGAGTGTACTTTTTAGAAACCATCAAACATTGCAGCAAAGGAATGGATTTACAATTTTATGAAGCCTTAGGTTTTAGAGTATTCTGAGTTGTCTCATCCTGGGGCAGTCATAGAGATTTCATGGTTTTTACCCTAGAAGTGCAAGAATTCCAGGCCCATTTCAAAAATAGTGTCTTAACCTGGAATACACCTGTCAAAGTTCCTTCTTACTTTGAAAGATATCTTTTTTAAAAAATCCTGTTGGAAGAAACATCCTTAATTCATAGTTCTCAGGGTCAGGTTTTTGTAAGGAAGTTTTGGTGAACAAATAACTGAGCAGATGCCGGAAAACCTAAGACTTTCATTTGAGTAGAGGACAGGGATTTATTAGACCACTAGATTAAAATTCCTGTATTTAAGACATATTTCACAAACACTTAATGGGGTTTTCCCACCCGTTAAGAGCAAACTAAGGGCACAATGTTCCATTTTAATAGGGGCAGTAACTCCATTTCATTTATAGACTAAAAGGACAGAAAAAAAAAAAAAATACAAGGGCAGTTCTCGCCAGAGAAAACATGACCTAATACAAGAGCTCCAGCAATGTATTAGAAATAAAGGCCTGTCTGTAGCCCTGGCCATTTCTTTTCCTTTTTACTATTTTTGGGAGCGGGGTGGTGATTTGGAAGAAAAAAAATCTGTGGTTGATATGCAATGAAGTTAACACTTCTGGGGCACGACTTCTATTACATGCACACATCATGATTTATAATTAGAGAACGGCCTGTTTACACACGAAGGTACACTGGGTCAAATGAAAAACTCTGCCAAGAATCTCAGCTTTTGGCTGAGGTGTGTTGGCAATTGGCATAAAGAAAATGGTCCTGGGATTGGACAGAGCTGGGAGGAGCCAGGAGATCTAGTTTTCAACCCCCGTGACATTAGCAAATGGATGTATTGACATAGAAAGACGTCTCCAGTAGGTTAAGTTAAAAATAGCAGAGTATGAAAAGATGTAAAGTATGATTTTGTTTTTTATTAAGAAAAACAGTCAATGTCTGTATTTTTATGTGTACTTAAAAAAAAAAAAAAAACAGACTTACACATACTGGACTACCAAAGCATTTATTCTTGGTAGGTAGAGTTACTAGAATATGCCCACTTGCCATATATGTCGTATTTCTATGCTGTTTGAAGTTTTAAACAAATATAGGTCACATGACAATTAGAAAAGATTTTAAGAGTATTTCCAGTAAAGGAAAAGGCAGTCTATCTTAGAGAGTTCACGTCTTCTTCCCTGGAGAAAACCTCAGTGTTGAATTCGGACACACCTGCTTTTTAATCCTGGTTCTGCCATTTACCCAGCTGTTGACACCAGCGAAACCACTGAGCGTCTCTGAGTCCGTCCTCTACTTTGTTACGTAAGGACATTCCTTTCTTCCTAGACTGGCAATGAAGATTATGTGATGTAATGTTTGCAAGGCCCTGGCCTCATGCCTGGCATGCACAAGGTGTTCAATTAAAGAAAGGAAAAACTGAGTGCCTTGTCTTTTTAACAAGTACAATGGGCAAGATCTAAATTTCAGCCAAGGATGGCAAACCATGACCAAGGGGAATGCAGTGGGATAACTACTTGGTATCTGGCCTGCAGCTTGGCACTGCATAGACAAAAATCCATTCGAGCACATGTCCTCTCTACCTAAGGCACTTGCTGGCTGAGTGGGAGACTAATAACTGTCATTCGTAACATATCTTTTGTTTGTTTGTTTGTTTTTGAGATGGAATCTCACTCTGTTACCCAGGCTGGAGTGCAGTGGCGTGATCTTGGCTCACTGCAACCTCTCCCTCCCAGGTTCAAATGATTCTCCTGCCTCAGCCACCCAAGTAGGTGGAACTACAGGTGTGGGACACCAAGCTTAGCTAATTTTTCTTCATATTTTTAGTAAA